GGTCCTTCACGCACCGAGAAGCGTGCCCGTTGCATTTGCATCTCCCCCCGACCTGCAGGTCCGACACGGCGTAGAAGTACGAGTCCCGGGCCAGCTCCGAGTCGTCCTCGTTCTCGTCCCCAAAAGTGTGCAGCCGACTGAAGATGACTTTAATGTCCGTGGCTGTCACCCAGTCCTGCAGCACCGGGGAGTTGTCAAAGTCGTGAGCCGAGGGTCTGCCGTCCAGCGTGCTGAAAGCGATGAGCCCCCCGGTCAGAGGGTACATGTCGGTGTGGGAGTCCGTGCACACAGCCTCCTGCTCATTCTGCTTCGTTATAGCTGCCCGGTTCGGCTTGTTGTACATCTTCCTGCACTGGGTCGAGTAAAACTGAAAGGGCACCCAAGTTTTACCGTAGTCCATAGACTTGTAAATAACCATGGATTCCGGTCGAGGCGAGCAGAACTGCAGGCTCACGTAAGTGACCTCAAACTTCTTTCCAAGGGACAGAGTCAGGGTGGCGTTCTGCGGGTACTGGAGGAAGTTGTCGGACTGCCAGCAGGTGAGGTTGTGCGGGTTGTTGAGGTCCGTCAGGTACGCTGGAGGGTGGTACTTCTTGGGGTCCGAGGCGTCGCAGGTGTGACAGTTCCTGGTCCTCTCGTCTCCTTTCTCCGCCGAGGTCACCACGCAGTAGCGACTGGGCACCTTTCCGCACGTGCTGGACACCTTCACTTCCTTACCGAAGGCGGAATTAACGAAGTCCGGGATGCAGCGCCGCGGGTTGCCGTGCTCGTCGTAGCAGGGGTCCGGGGGAGAGGTCTGCGCCGCGAACAGGCTCACCCCGTAGCCGCCCAGGACGCTCCGGCACGACAGGGAGGCGGCGAGCAGCACAGAGAGGACAATATCCACAGCCCTTAGCATGGTAGGTCCCTCGGTCCCTAAGTGTCTCTGCCGCTGGAGGAGAAAGGGAAAGAGCGTGTGGGAAGAGTGAGAGAGAGTTAAGTTTGGTGATGGCTAAGCAGTCTGCAAACACTTTCCAAACAAACACTGGGGTTAGAATTAGTATTTTACAGTGATATAAAAGTAACATTCAGTCCCACCACATGAATGGGAGGTTTGGGAAAATGTATACAAAGCTCACATTACCTGAGAATAATTTAAAAATATGTAAGAACCGGCGATGTTAGTCTACTTTTTCTTTATCGGAATTCAATCACAGCTCCTCCTGTTTTGTTGTTTGTTTCTTCAAATCTGCTGCGTATAAATAGAGGAGCAGCCGGATTTAAGAGTCGCTAGTGTCCTTATAGCAAGTCCCACTCCTCCTGCCGGTCTTTTCACAATCTCTATCTCTCCCCTCACTCTCCCTCCCTCCCTCTCTCTTGGATCGGATCTTGTTTGGCACAGCTTTCGGTCAGCTCATCTCGAGGGGTGACACCAGGCGGAACAACGACATCCACTGGTGGTGCGTCAGAAATATTTGACGAGACGCAGATTACCGCAGAAAACAGCTGGAACCAACACTGCACTGGGACACCTTCATCTGGACGACACTTGACAGGATCGTTCAAATACGGCATTAAATCACATTAATCAAAGGCTATTATTAGGCCTATTATCGTAAATTACAGTTAAACGATATTTGTTATTTTGTGAGACATGCAACGTGATTTGAAATAGCTATTCTGGTAATAAATACACCATCTTGAAAAAAAAACATAACTTTAACTCTAATTGTATGTCTAATGTGGTACTATAATCTAGAAATGTAATTAACATGCACCATTATAAGGGCACTCTTGGAAGATAAAATATAAACGGGACCAATGTAAAACAGAAGAAACATAAACGCAACATAGTAGCCAAATGAACTTTAGATTCTCCACTGTTGAAGATTTTAAGGGATTTGTTTCTCAAAATGTAAAATGTGAAGTGATCATCATTTGGACGTTTGCTTGATTTTAGTGTAAATTCCATTTTATACAGTTTGATACATTTTGTAAGTGACCCTCTCCTTGTCTGAAACCCATGACAGCAGATAGTATACTGACATATATCATCCTCCATTGGGATATTACAAGACACCATAAACTTCGCAAACGAGCATTGCTTTGCAGAATACATCCCTCCTGTGTTGTGCAATGTGCCTCTGTCCTTCAAACCAACCTGATGCAGCTGCAGCCTCACTGGACTTGTTGAATGTTGGCAATAGAAGTAACATTGCCATCTTGCGGCCATGCAAAGTAACAGCAGCCCGACCTGATTGCAGCCAGAGGTGACCTCTTCCCCCAGGCGGTGGAGGCACATCACCGTTTGTTTACCGAGCATGAAGATGATTGGCTGCTGCAGGTCTGAATGGTAAATATTAAAATACAAGAGAAGGCTGTTGTATACTGCTGAGTTTAATGTTAAGACTTTTAGAGCTGAGATTATTTATAAAACAATGCAAGGGATATAACATGGCATAATAAAGGCATAAATGCAAGCTTAACAACACAAATGAATACATAAAAGAACACATTAGCTCATGTGAAGGATCTACTTCAAGGGAATTGCAATAATACAAATAATATACAAAGCCATATGGGAAAGCTTTTAACTTAGAAAATATATATAATATATCCTTCATTATATATTTAACTCTAAAGGAAATGTTGTTATAGAAACTAAAAGCACTGGCCACATCATCTACCATCGAGAGCCTAACATACTGCATCACAATGTGGTACGCCAGCTGCACTGAGGCCGACAGGATGAGGCTCCAGAGAGTTGTAAAAGCAGCACAGAGGATCATCGGCTGCCCTCTCCCCTCCCTGATGGACATTTACACCTCCCGCTGCCTCAGAAGAGCCAAACACATTGTTAAGGACAGTTCACACCCCGGCCTTCACCTGTTCAACCTGCTGCTCTCCGGCAGGCGCTACAGGTGTATCAAATCCAAAACAAACAGACTCAAAGACAGTTTTTTCCCAAGAGCCATCATTGCTCTTAACACCTGAAAGTCATACCTCTTAATCATCCTGCATGTGAAATAAATGTGACTCTGTACATATACATATATATCATTATTATTATTATGAATACATACCTACTATTATTATTTATTACAATATAGATTTTATTTTTATACTCCTGGAAATAATTACTGCACTTTATTCCTTATTCCTAAGTATGTATGCTGCGTGTATTTGTTGTCTTATGTTGTGATGTTTTTTTGTTTTGATGGCACCCTTGAAAGGGAGAAGCATTAATTTATCTCATTGTACATGTATAATGACATTAAACGATTCTATTCTATTCTATTCTATTCTATTCATGTAAACAGTGAACTTCAGCAAAAGGTTTTTTTGGTGTTACATAAGATGTTTAGGCAAAACAGTCAAGTCGTCACAAACAAATAAAAATACACTCTTACAAACAACACCGGATGATCACATTTTTTGCAGGTTATAGCTAGTTCTTCATTTCAGCTCTTGCTGGGAAAGAAGAATTAAAACAATTGTATCTCATTATGTCAGAACAGATCTGCTCAGCGGACACTTCCCGCTTCACCAGCTGGAAAGAAGAATGACATCATGTAAATGTTTGACAGCTTTTCACCTGTCTGTAAAGCTGAATTGCAGAAAACCAAAGGAATTGTTAACATTTACACAAAGTTTACAGTAAAATCAGCCAAAACTACAGTTGTTATGATACAAAATATAATTTGCATTCAATCCAATTTTGTTAATAATTTCTAGGTTATACTTCCCTCTCTGGAAATCATCATCCTGCCGTGGCTTACATACTGCTTCTTTAGAAATAAAACAATTAGAGAAGTGAAATTTAAAACAATCAAATAAACAAAAACATTTCTGACAATCAGCCGTTTTTTCATTTATCTCAACATAGCTTTTTTTCTCTCTCTCTCTTCTGCAATTGGTTTCATTCAGCAATTTTCCAGTCATTTCATTTCCAGATATAAACCTGACGCAATTTCTGGACCAAGTTTTGGTTATTAATCACAACCAGAAGATACAAATTACTTTGTGATTTGTGAAAATTGTGATGTGAATTATGCAGTTACATTTTTTAACTGACTCCTTCCATCGTCAAGACTGTATTTTTGATAGTACCAACTCTAACATGTTTTCCTTGATTACATTGAACAACATTGAGCAATTTATATTGAAGATTTTTGGAAATATGAAATACGTTGCCAACATGTTATAAGAAAGAGTTAGGTATAAACAATATGTACATACATGATTATCAACTTGCTTTGCCATCTTTCATTAAACTCATTAGGTATAAAGGTCATTCAAAAGGGTGTATGTAAACAAGTTTAGAAAGTTTAAAAATTGTGCTGAGATACACAAGGAAAACTATTTACTGTCACTGTTTTGTATGGCGTGACAATATTTCTCTCAATTCTAGAGAAGGGGAATTCACAGTCGCACTAATAACATGAAATGTAAATGAGAAGCAAAGCAGGAGGGGGAAGTAAGTTCTGTGTTTCCCTGTCGGAGGGGTTTGCAGAGAGAGTAGGAATATGGACCTCAAACTTTAAGGAAATAAAGAAGGGGCCAGTTTATTCCAATTCATTCTAAAGAATTGTGATTTATATACACACAGTGTTATTAGTAACAGTCGTTGAGACTTGAAATGTATATTATATCTTGATACAGGTGAGAAATATTACTTGTTTACATCATTGATTATGAAATGTTGATAGGTCTAAATTGAATTACTCTTTTTGTGTGTATTGTGTTAATACCATTAAGCACAGACAGTACAACCAATACTCCATATCTTAAGAAAATAATGAACAAAGCCAGAAAACCCAAACAAAGACACTTCATTCAAGTGTGAAAATAGCATGAAAACAAACACGTCAAACTGATGACTTCCTTTTAAGGGCCAACATCCCTTCAAAATCCACATGCAACCTCCTACACACGCATGAAGAAAAACACACACAATGCCACTTCCCACCTACACACACACACACACACACACACACCAGCAGCCTCCCTCATTGTGCTCACATGCACCTCTTTCATACACTTCCTGTTTGTGAGGCATGTGTGAAGCGTAGAAGTCTTTGAGCGCAGCAGAGAGCTACAACCAGATACTCGAGGCTGATTTCACTTCGCTGCACTGCCTGCCATGCCCAGGATGTGGGTTTGCCTGTTAAACCGTGATGTGTGTGTTGAATGAATGGCTAGCAGTAAGCTGAAGACCCTTCAGGACTCTTTTGATGCATACAGAAGCGATGAATGCTGGATGGTAAACTGCAGGTAAGACAATCACGTTTATTTGACGTACAGTAACAGTACACTTTATTTTGAAAGGGCACCTTGATCAGATGTGGACAGCAGTAAATGAATGTCAGCCTGCATGATGATCTGATAATGTTGTCTTCTGGTAATGTTCAAGAAACAGTGACTCCATGGCTGACAGTATACTGATCTGGAAGTGTTCAAATGTTTGCAACTAAACATCCACTAATTACCCCAGAATACAATCACTTTTGACAGTATTACTTAATTACAGATGAATTATCTTCATCCATCTACAGTATTCAAAATGATAGTATACTGACATATTGGGGACTCCTGTTTTTAAAGCTGTCAACATTCCACGTCATCTTGTTTTGACTCATGTTATTGTTTTTTTTTTACAATATGCAAGATCTTTTCTCTGCCTCTTGTTTTGTGTCAGAAGAGCTGAAACGCAGCATCAGCCTCACAGTGATGGGAAAAGCTGTCATGTTGACAAGCCCCCCTCTGTGAGCACAGCGGCCCCCCTTGTGATACCATTTTGGGAACTTCTGCTTTTTCACATGCTTTTTATGATTCATGTTTTAAGTAAATGCTGAGGAAGTAGAGACACAGAACCACGTGTTAGGCGCCTGGTAGTTATCTCACTTTGAATGCCTGTATCTGTAAATGGAAATAATTATTTAGGCAGATTCGACCTGTTCATATCAGATAACTGTGTCAGCACTTTAGAGACAAAGTGATATTGGTTCATGTTCCTGGGGTGATTTGCAGTGGCTGAAGCAGGTTTTACAGAGCAGGTGTAACTGATTTGAACATTTATATGCACTTCACACAATGACAAATACTGAGAAGTCTTTACTCCATTCTTCATTTATTTGAATAAGTATAAAAACTGTGCTGAAAAGTGACAACCAGTGATAAATGACTGCAATCCTGGTAACTGTCTTTGAAGCAAACTTCAGATTGATTGTCAGTGTTCGTTGGAGGCTCCACCCAATAGAAACTTTACTGAGCCAACGCCTGAACTCTACATCCTTTTGCACTACAAAATCAACAACCTGTCTGCCACATGTGAATTAAAAGGTACAGTCATCGTAGGGGGTCAATGAAGGTGACATTTTACTGACTTTTAATTCAGGTTATCATAACCAGTAATGTAAGAGAAGTAACTGAAGATGGCAAATTCTAATCTCCAGTGATCTTATTCAGGTAAACCCATATGAAAATACGTTTTCTAATTTGTTTTATTTGCCCAGTTGAAGTGTTAAGTTGAACAACTCATATCCTGTTTTAGCTTTGCACTCACAATCAATAGTTTAAAAAGCACGAGGATCAAAATCAGTGCAGCAGAACCAGTAATTCTTGCTTGTCAAACCTGGCACCTCCATTACCCACAAAGCACATCGACTGTAAAGGGTTTAGTTTGAGGTTCAGGTGTGACACGAGGAGCAGCTACAGCCGTCAAGTAAGCTCAGGTCTTTTAAACACTAACTTTAAAAGTGTAGATTTGTATTATTTAATTATTAAACATTTTCTTTTTAAAGCTGTGTTATTTAAAAGTGTTTTTCTTAGTCTGAGAACGGTTCTTTTATCATAAGAAGTAACATTATTTAAAATGTTCCAGTAGTGTGGCTTTGCACAATTTGAATGCAAGTCAAGCCTCGAGTAATTTTTTTTGTGATTTGACTCGATTCCAAATCTCAAGTTTCGAATCTATGCCGCTGTATTCTTGAGGTTGGATTTGATTGCACAAAATGAAATGAAAGTAGATACATTGAGCTTTGATTTCTCTATAGCCATGAGAAAAACACTGCCTCTTCATTTAATGAACAACCTTTTCTCTTGTTGGTGATCTATTATGTTATGAGTCTTAATAAAAAAACATTACAATACATTTTCACCATAGCCTTAATTGTAACAAATTCCTTGTTTCTTGCCTTCATCTTGACAGATAAGGACCAACTTAACAACGCGCAACCTAAGAACGGGGTCATCCATTTTTCTTAGAAATGGTCTCATTACACAATCAGTTTCAATACAATCATCTCCTGTTGAGAAATAACAACTGCCATAGGAGTTCACGTGTCAGGCTTGAAAGAAAGCTGAGAAAAGATCAGATTAATGAAATGTCTTAGACGGAGCAGATATTGACATGCTTTGTTGTTTGTTACAACAGATATGAGATAACAGGATTGAAGCAAGTCACTTTAATGTTTTTTTTTTCAAATCTAGCAACGGTTAAACGCAGTATCCGAGTGCAACGCTGGGTGTTATTCACCACGGTGCTTCCTGTTTGCCTCTTTACGGCTGTATCAGTGAAATCTTCATTCTCACCTTTACAACAAATACTTTGAGGTCAACACCCCCGTATATGTGCAAATATGCATCTCTGCACATGCACATCACACCTGTTGTTACTAAATAATAAGGGATGTAGGAGTGGTGAAAACGTGTTTTTTCTCAATTGCATTCGATCAAATATAATAGGATAACGTTTCTACTGGAGATCAAGAAAATCTCATAATTTGTTGAATGTTAAAACTTAGTGTTGTGAAACAGAGCCGACAGGAACATAGTTATGTTGGTGTATTGTAGTCTTTACTGGCTCATGTTGTTTGGAGTTAAGTATTATGACTTGATAATACAGAACCTGATATTTGCATTAATGGTAGTGTTATGATTATGTTTATCAGGATTTATTGAGGAAGTGAATACCAAATATTATATAGGGTGGCCTTCTTTTCTGTAACAACCACTATGTTTTGGTTCTGTTAGATTAACTAGAGCAAAGAGTTGTCTCTCGCTTATTTATTTGTTTAAGTCATTACTTCCTGTTTGAGTCTCTTATATAAAGTTGCATATACTATTGGCCTACTTGAGTATAATAAGTAATAAGTACAGCATGATATTGCAGCAAGAAGCAGTTATTCCTTATCAGGTAAATAATCATCTCCAATCTCCATTAAAACTTATTTTTTTCATTAACCGGCTGAAAAAGGTTTAAAATAAGATACAAAGTTAATCCTTGACATTGGGGACAGCAGTTAATAAAATAATCTCACCTCACTGCCAACTTGAGCAATAAATCCTAGAAAGTGTTTAGAAAAAAATGAAATTCCAACATCCACATATCCATGAGAGCTCTTGCTGGGTTTTTAGACCCAGTGATGTGTTTTATGCTAACAGTGGTCCACTTAGACTGTTCAGTTCCCACCGGTAGTGTTTGTTTGAACTGAAGGGAAGCACTTAGTTACAGGAGAGCTTTGGAGTTTGGCCGCTGGGGTTTCCTAAAGCCATAAGAAAAGCCAGTTCACATCCAGTGGATCAGTGGAGAGAAAGGGGGTATAGAGAAGCTCTATTGGCCAGTGGAGGAGGCCCGGATCTGAATATCATATTCTTTAAATGGGGGGAGGGTTGAGATAAAATGACAGTCAGACATAATGTACATACACATACACAAGCTCTTCTCCCTGGTCTGTGGGAGTATATCTGAGAGTCTGATCACACCACAACAATAGGGAGGCACCTGCTTCCTCAGCTGAGCAGGGACGCCACCTTCCTGTTAGGAAGCAGTTGGTAATGGGATCAGTGGGAAAGATGGGAAGCAGTCTGCAAAAGGAGGACAGCTTGAGAAAGAGAGACACAGGTGGAGGTGCAGAAATCTTGGAAATGGAATTAACTGTCAGTCCAGTGTGAATCTAGTGGTTCTTCCACGACAAGAACACTACTTGTTATTGTCCGACTGTTTAAATTTGCAACCAATGAAAAAGCGGAAGTGACCTTGTTGACTCTTAGGGATGTGCTGCATATATCCTCTTATGAAACATTAGAGACTCATGCATTTGTAACACTACTAGAAACTCCACATCAACAACTATGCTGACACTCTGGAGTTGGGATTGACATTTTCTGTTAAAATCCCAATAAATGTATATTGTGGCAGATTATAGGAGATTGCACCACTCACAGTGCCATGGCAACATAGCCTTCTGTTGTTACAATAAAGCTTATACAGAAGTATGTTTGAGTTGGGAAATGTCCATCAGCAAAGACTCATAATATAAAATCTTTGTGACATATATGATTCCATTACTTATATACAATTTGACTACTACTGTAAAACCAACATCAACACCAACATAACAACTCGATGCCGTCCTCTAAACCAGAGGTTCCCAACCTTTTTTCCCAAGAGCCCCCCCAAATGACTCCTGTTGGAAGTTGCGCCCCCCCCCCCCCCCCCCCCCCACACACACACACACATACAAGGGGGGGGGGGTCTAAAAAATGCTACAACTACTGTCACAAACTGGATGAATGTGAAGTATGTTGTTAAAGGAGGATGAAAGCGTAATTAAAGAGCACTATTGGAGTGACTTTGATGGTTATTGGACTCAGGATTAATTCATTTGGATTCCCGCTGTATGAAGAAATGAAAGGACGGCGCAAGTGGAAACAATTCACAAAGGGATTAAACTGTTTAAAACACATGCTCAAAGTAAGCCGGATTTTGCCAATGTGTTTATGTGGATTCAAAAGTCGTAAATAATCTACAAAATGGAGGAGACCGATCTGATCGGAGCAACTGTGACAAATAATCTGAAACCGGCATGGACAATGACTATGTTTCAAAAATGCGCTTATCCAGAAAAAGCCTGGTTTGGACACTTTACGGGCAGAAGAAACATTTCTATTAAAGAAAGAATTATACATTTCTGTCTTTTTATGCCTATAATAGCTACTAACTTGAATTTTTATTCAAATTAATTAATCAATTATTTTTAATATTTTATTGTAATGTAGAGACAAGGCTTTTAGTGACAATCATGTATTGCGTTACAATTATATGTAAAAAAAAAAAAAAGTCTAAATACGATATTTGGCCTCAAATCATCTGAGGCCTGGCGCCCCCCCTGCGATCTTTGGCACCGGGCGCGCCCCCCCAAGGGGGGAACCACTGCTCTAAACCACACAACACTTTCACTGTGTTTTGCCACCTCACATAGTGTCTTCAACTCTTTATTACCTTAACACGTATCCATTGAACCCCATCCTGGATGCAGGAGTCATCATGTATCTGACTTATTAGTTCCTTCCACATTGACCGGGCTTTCATCCAGACCTGTCCAACCCTTACAATGACCGGAGTGCTAAGCACAAGTGTCCAAAAAGCATGGCTCTATTCCCCTGTTCAGTGCCACTTGTACAGCTCTTAGACACAATGGCTCTCTGGGGAGGAGGGACAGCTGAGAACAAGGGCTGCATGGATGTGTTTACCTCTGGAGCAGGAGGTATTGTTGTTGAATGGTAACTGTAGGAAAGGGAGTAAAGTGGAGGGGGATAAATGAGCTTTATTTCTCAGTCTTTGGTTTGCATGAGCTTCCTGCCACACTGTGTATTATACTTTATTAAGCATGAATGAACAATGGTTTGTAACGTTTCAATAGGTGTGTTTGTGTGGTTAGTGTTCGAAATAGTTCGACATTCTGGTAGGTACACTTTCGCGACGAACCTTATATCAATACCACTCAGTACCAGCTGTTGTTTAGCAAAGCTAGCTTAGCATAAAGCCTGGAATAGAGGATAAATCGCACCTGCTGGTAGATGGATGTTGTTATCCTCAGACAGTCTCCATTCATGAAGTTAAATTAGTTAAGCAAATGGACATATATGAAATAGGTATCAATATTATTTTCAGACTTTTGCAAAGAGTGAAGACAAATAATGATATTCTCCAAAATGTGAGCCTATTGCTTTGAAGTGTCCAGCGTGTGTGTGTGTGTGTGTGTGTGTGTGTGTGTGTGTGTGTGTGTGTGTGTGTGTGTGTGTGTGTGTGTGTGTGTGTGTGTGTGTTTGTGTGTGTGCGTGCGTGTGTGTTTGTGTGTGTGTGTGTGTGTGTGTGTGTGTGTGTGTGTGTGTGTGTGTGTGACAAGAAGGGTTATTTTGTGAGTGGGTGTGTATGAGCAAGTGACTCATCCAATAACAAAAATAAATGGTATGAAAAGGGGAATTTGTGGCATGCTCTGGGGAAAGTTTGAGAAGATGTAATCAGCCAAAAACAGTTTTAATCTCTGTCTATGTGGGCTGAAATGCTTATTAAAGAATAGGTTAACAAACACGCATGCTTATTTTTCATCAATGAAGCAAGGAATTCATTGTGTGTCAACATTTAGCTCTTAATATAATCTAAATAAGCAACCTTGGGTCCCCTGAAAGGCGCTATATAAATGTAAGTTATTAAATTATTAGGTTGTTAAAAATGTGGCTTTACATGTCAAACAAAAACTGCACAGCTTGTCAAATGTGAATAAAAAAAGCAAATCTTTAAAAAGCTTTTTAAGGGAAGTAAAGTTCTTCTGTTTCTCAAATGTAGACTTTTCCCAGAAGTAGCACATATATATACAGTATTTCCATGTAAAACTTGATTAGGTAAGAGAAGCTTCACAAATATATTAACAAGCAACCACGTTACTTTCCTTTGAACCACGTTCCAATGAATATTCATTCATTATTAAAATCCCTTTTAGTCAAGTATTAGTCTAAAACATGAACAAAAAATCTAAATGTGTCTCTTCAATAATCATGCTCTACAGCAAATGTCTTAATTGGACAGATGTGTGTAGTGTCTAAATGTTGTGTATATATCCATATATTCATATAAGGTGTTTTTTATATATATATAATAATAATAATAATATTATATATATATATATCCTGCATATTAAGTCACAAGCTTTTTCCCATCTGGAGAAGCTGTAGTCAGTAAACCAGTTCATCCTAGTTTGTATGTGAAGTTAACAATGTCTGATGAAATAAAATTCATACATACAAAAAAACAAGAAACTGGCTAGATGGGGCATTCTCGCAATATTTGTAGTTTAAATGTATGCAAAGTCAAAGTGACATAATTAACCAAAAAGCATTGTTATCCTTCAAACAACCATTAACACCATTTGTGTGAATCATAAATGAACTCTTGACAAGACAGGGGGTTTGCCTTATAAATAGCGACATGTGCAGATATGATTTTTGTCTGATTATATCGGACCCAAGTTGTTCCACAACAAAATCACCTTTCTGGGGAATTTTGAAAACTTGCAATGTTGTAGTTGCCAGTGAAGAAGTGGTCACTGAACGAATGTGTGTATCAATTTGAAACATCTTGGTTTGGCTAGCTGTCCGGGGTGACTTTTGGTTTTGTTTGGTTGGTGTTGCAGCTTTCTAATTGTGTCATTTAACACCTGCCATCATGGATGTTGTTACCCTTAAAGATAAATCTGTCACTCCAATGTTTCACGATGCTGATGGGATGTCCCCAGTTTCTTGATATGTATATTGCTTCTGATGAGAAGTGGTCATAACAGAAGTGAAACATGGAGCCACCCCTACGTTGCCCTCTGATGCTGTAAAAGTACAGATAAATGGAAGTTCAAAAAGTGAAGTTCAAAAAACCCTTCTGAGTCAGTGTTGAAGACATAATGGACTTAGTCTGTGGTCAAACTGAAATTATTCCTTTGTCTTTTTCCAACATGTCTGTCTGATCCGCAGCATCAACAGCATTGTTTTACAAGTGATTTTAAATCTAATGTGGCAAAAAAAAAAAAAAAACTTTTATAAAACTCACTGATTTGAGGCAGAACAGACTTCAAAACATATGTGCATGTGACATTTCAGGAACTATGGAAACCAAATATCAAAACAAGCAAACCCCTGTCTGTTTTTCCTTCCCCTATAAAAATTTCCCTTTATGGTTTGTGTATCTTAGACACATTTCCATACCTAATGGGTGACCTGCATTTATGCAAAAACATACTTGATAACACATACTGTTCATGAAAAGAGAGGGACATGTTTGTGTGCATGCGTGTATGTGAACATTTTGAACACATGTAAATGAATTTGGAGATAAAATTCCACAGAAAACATGAATGGGAATGTATCAGATTCTGATTGCTAAGACCAGCTCTGTCTCCTGTCCCTTCACAGAAACTGAGCAGTAAGGATGCAGCACACGTCGTGCACAGAGGACAGGATCCAGCACCTTCTGGACAGATGTCTGGACGGGCTGAGACAGAGCCCAACAGCAGCTCACCACTGGAACGGTAAGTCTCCAGGGGCCACAGCAGTGATAAGGACCACAGCTCAGATTTGGTTTAAGAAGGCAGTGACGCATGTAAAAATTACTTTTTATGTTTCTGCACTGCTTCAATTAAGATTTTTGCGTGAATTATTATGCATCTTTTCAGATAAAACCTTATATCTAAGATATGAGAAGTCATTACAGACACAGCATAATGTGTCATGTGATACAATTATGTATTTGTAATATACTGATATACAGGCAATACCAGAGTTACAAAATGATATGGTCCACTTTAGGTGTCTTCATTCCTATTCCGAGATTCTTCTTGGCAAGAATTTGGAAAACATATTGCAATATTGAATTTAAGGTATAGGGATATTCAAACGTCATGACCCATCTACGTTAACATCTTTTAATTGGGGTCCAAGTCTTAATTAAGGTGGTCAGAGACCATAATTCAAATCAATTGGTACAAGCAACACATTTTCTCAGAAATATCCACCCTAGTACACACAGTTGAATGTGCTGTTTACAGGGCTGACTTGAACAGAAGGCAGTTGTTTGTTCTTGCTTTCTCAACACAAGGGCAGCTTGTGACAGACACTCAGCAAACGGCATTCGAGTACATGGTTTCTGAGCTTGTTGTTGATGACGCACTAGCTGTTAGATCATCAGGGGAACGTTATTGAGGCCTGGAGGAAGTTGTGTGAATAGACAGCTGAGAGGAAGTGGTGGCACAGACCACAGTGTGTGAGTGGGGCATCATGAGGCACAAATTAGTGAGAGGGTGTAAAACATGGCAGGAGATAAGATTGGCATCGGCCTCCCGAAGGACGCTCTGACATTTACTTATACAAACATGTTCTAGGTTTTATACCCTGATCGATTAGGATTATATGATTTCAAATGTATAAAACATGCCAGCTGAAGAGTTTGTTTTTCAGGTTTCATTCTCCCCTTCACTTCATTACTACAAGGAAGAGACCTGTCAATCACAAGATGTGCCCTTACTCATGTAGTGTACTATACATGTGACCATTATTTACAAAATAAATATCATGCCATATTGAAGGAGACATGAAACTAAAGGTTGAGACCACAAACCCTTCAGTACGTGTTAACTGAGGTCAGAAATTAGGTTAGAACGAAGGGTAATTTTCTCATAGACCTGAGACCCTGGATATCAGATAAAAAAGCAAACTTTAGAATTATTTCATGTTTCAGGCTGGTAGGTTACCGCCTGGTTTGTTGTCTTTAAGTAGATAGATAGAATCGGAGGGATGAAACCCTCTTTAATGGTCACACATGCAGAGCACACACAGTGACATTTGGCCACTGCATTTAACCCATCCTAGTACCAGGAGTCTAGTACTAGGAACAGTGGGCAGCTATTGCACAGTGCCCGGGGAGCAATGGGAGTGAAGGGGGTGGGGGGGTGTCCGGTGCCTTGCTCAAGGGCCCCACAGCAGGGCAGGAGGTGAACTGGGACCTCTCCAAGTAGCAGTCCACACTCCATATTTAGGTCTGGTTGGGGACTTAAACTTGAACCGGCTCACAGTCCAAGCCCCTACTGACTGAGCCACTGCCGGACAGAAGTGTGATTACAATCATATGAACTTACAACATGTTATAATTGAAATCTTATCAGGGTATTTTTGAAAACCTGCGGCTTAATCTCCAGTAATGGCATTTTATCAAAAACAAACCATAGTGCTGTCCGGGAAATGCTCATGATGCTCCTAAGTGCAGAAAACTTTAGAAAAATAAAGAAGTTTCATGGAAATCATTTATGTGTAACCCGAAATACCAACACACTGATGTGTTATTATACCCTTGGGACCTGAGCTCCTCTAAGAGTTGGAGTTGTTGAGACTGAGGGATCAAATGGATAGTACTGTAGGTGCTTGTGAGGAATCAGCAATCAGTCTTAGTTGTTTTTGTGAGTGTGTGTTTTTCATATTGCTGTGTGAGATGATGTATTCACAGATCTCTACTGTTGTTTTATTACATTTCCATTTCAAAGATATAGAAACCTGCAATCAGCTCAACAATTCTTCTTCCTAGACATTCAAAAGCTATAATGTCTAAAATACAGTTTCTAGTGTTTTTTTTGTGAAAACAAAATGATAATGGAATCCAAACGTCCTATTAACTGTGCAATATTGATATGAGTCTAGTTATCCCTATTGTAGATTTCCTTATATTTAGTACCAAAACACGTATTTTCTTGAGGATACCTTAACTCTGTTTTCTTGCAACAGGAAATCTGTCCTGACAAAACATCCTAACAAGAAACACTGAACAAAAGGTGATAAAACACACGCCTGAAGTGCACCAGCACTAACAGTTATGGACTTTAATGTCCTGCTGTGAGTTGTTACAGACCGGCCTTTGGCCCAACTCATAAACAACCTGTTTTTTCTTGTAGTTCTATAAGCTACGATTTATTGAAATGAACAATTGGAATTAAATGCCTCATATGTAAAGGTTGCAATAAATAATAAGCATGTGTGTAATTCTTGTTTTTTGTGATAAATAATTGCTTCTTAATGATGGCCCAAAGGACAAAATGGGTTTTACAGGGCTTCTTTCGAACAATGTACAGAAAGCTAAATAAACTTGGCTTTTTCTCTGTTCTCTGTTTCATCAGCGTGTATTTCAAAAAGCACAAAGACAAGTTGTATTTTATAATGCACAACTACAAACACAGTGTTGATGCTGTCAAAATAATACACCAGCCATTTAGTAGTGGTAGCAAATGGTATATTTTTAGACCAGTGGCCATATACATATAGTGGTCTCTGCAAACAGCCGTTGCACTAGGTAGCAAAATATGCAACAAAAACGAACCTAGTATCACTACGTGGGGTTGTAAATATCGTCGAGTGATTGCCTCTGTCTCATTTAGTCTGCTATCACTCAAAAACAAAATACTGATTCAGTGATGATCAATCAAATAAGTACGTGCAGCGTGGCACAGCTCTGCTCATATGCACAAAACCTTAATTTGAAATATAACTACTCAGGGCTGGAGAGGTTTCAGTAAGTCGTTGTCTTTTGGGGGGTTGAGGCAAATAGTAGTAGTGAGGTAGAACATGTTCATTTTGTATGAGGCTGTCTGAATTTGTGCACTAACATGAATCCACATGTGCCGTCTTTTAGTGCTGATGTGCTCTGCCGGTCAGTCAATGAACCGCTGGAGCCTGGAGGAGCTGGTGAAGAGGGACCCTGAGAACTTCATCATCCTCTTACAACAGATCCTCAAGAAGACCAAAGAGGTGAGAGGTCAAGGGAGGAAGATGTTGTCCACTGTTCATGTAATGTTTGATTTTGTCTCAATGAAGTAAAACAGTACTATAGTTGCTGAATATTCACCCAAATCCCTGTTCTCTCTCTGTCTGTCTCAATGTGTGTGAGTTCAGGTTCAGGAGCAGTGTCAGTATGAGCTGGTGACTCCACTCGCTATTATGTTTTCCTCCACGTTGCTACAGGTACAAATCAATATCAACATGTTATCAATCATTAAGCTTTCCTCACTTCTCAGTATCATTCAGTGTTTGACCTGAAAGAGCACTTTCAAAACCTTTGTTAGTTCCTCAACGCAAACCACTATGACGTATTTTTTATGCGTTACTATGAGAGAAGATTCAAGCATGATTCAAACACTTTCACACAACACTTTTTATTTTCAGTGGTTACTAAGAATGCCAGAGTGTTAGCTGTGTAGCCATTGATAGTGTGATACCCTTAAGATTTTGTAACATTGTGACAAATTACTGTAGAATTAATTTGGAAAGTGAACTGGCTTAACTAACTCCAAGATATGTGACATGGTTTCAAAAATGAGCAGTAATGTAATAATGGATAAGCCAATATTGATTTAAGCCGTTAGTTACAGTTATATTGCTCCACTTATTAAGCATACATGCTGGATAATGTGCTTAACAGGTGTTTACATAACATTAACAGATTTGATTACATATGTGATCCATCAGGATTAAATAAAAAATATAACAAGTTTGTACATCATCACTTGCTTTGAGGAAACCCTCCTCTTTTCAAAAGACCTGAGTGGTTGGTCCACTAATATAGTAATGATGAGTACATTAAGTAATGCAATGTATGATCCCAACTAAAATACTTCATTTGTGCCTCGGTTGCAGACTCCATACTGTCCTCCAGACAAAGAGCTGATTGAGAAAGCTATTGAGGTGTTTCGCTTCTTCCTCACCTGGCCTGAGCCTTACTGCAGTGTCTGCAAAGACCTCCTCTCAACTCTACAACTGGAGATCAAGGCTCCCGGTAAATATAGATCGTTAACTGGTATTCAAGAACCACAATATGTAGTGTGTGTGTGTGTTAGTGTTAGTGTTAGTGTGTCTATTTCTATATCACTCTCTTGACTGAGTCTCTGAAACACTATTGTCGTTCAAACTTGGTAATCACACTCCCCCTAGTGGCAATTCAACAAAATGCATTTAGGATGACACTACAGCAGAGGACAGTGCTTATATTGTGTACATCAAACATCAGCAGGACCAACATCAATAACAGGAAGATGATAAGGCTTGAAGTGTAACTGGACACTTCTTCATTCTAATGTGAAATGGTTTGAAAGCCAATGAGGCTTCAGCATTTGCAAAACAAAAAGCAGAAGAAGCGACATGTAAACACTTTGAGTATACTCAAATGTACAGGAAGGGTCAAAGGAAGTGCTGATAACACATCAACAGAATAAATTAATGCAGTCACAGCCACAACTTTTCTTTTAAATTGTTGAATGAATGATTGAAACAAGGTGATTTGATGCGCTTTTCAAATAAATAAAGTAAATACAAGAAATAATGACGGACACTAAAGTGGGTCCAACGCATACAATATGAAGCCATCAAGCCTCCATAGCCTCTAAATAAAAAAAACGACACTTCTTATCTTCAGCACAGCAGAATACAACGCCACAAAGCAGACAACACAGAGATAATATCGTAATAAAGTCCACAGCGACTGCAGCCATACACACACATCAATGCAAACAGAGGGCAGCCAGCATATGAACACATCACATTTATTAAGGTGCATTAATGTACTCACCTGTCATTCTGCGAGTCTTGTGCACCTCGTCATCCTCTCTGCTAGTTCATTCTCAAACAATATACAGCCCTCTCAGTCTGTCCCTCTGCCTCCTCAAAGCTTTTAAAATGTTGGCGCTCAATAACTTCTTTGCAGCCACAGGGAAATCAAACCACCAGTTATTTTTTCGCATTTAGCCTTTAGGGTAAATCTCACTGGGCAGGTAGCATCATGCACCTGTTGGTGACGTATCATCATGGGTGTGTCTGCTGTCCTAAATAATACTCTCCTACTTTATCTGCCTGCAACTGGGCAACTCTAGGACATTGTCATAAGTAACCTTGTGTTGTTGTTGAGTTGTTCATTTTAAAAAGTATCACAAGATGGAATTCACTAATAGAGTATATTTTTTCTATTTTTCCCACAGGGATTTCCTTTCAGAGACTGGTGAGAGAAGAACAGTTCCTTAACTCCCCTGGCCAGAGCTCCAAGACCATGTAAGTTCAGAAAATAAAAACTAAAAAAACGTTTTCTGTGTAGACTTTAAAACACAAGAATACACTGTACATGTAGGCTATGCAGGCTGTACACAACGTAGGATATGATGCTTAAAAAAGTGATGGTGATATAAGTAAACAATCCACTCTGTATGAGTGCAACTTGTTTGTAAAGCCCTTTTGGCAGTGGTATGTTCATCATGACAAATATTTTTCAGTTCATTTCAGATTATCTGTGGTATCTTTACCCCTTCTGCTTTCTTGTTAAATTGGTCCCGTTTCTACATGTTGGAGGTTCAAAATAACCTGATCTGACATGATACTTTTAAAGTAAAAAGAAAACTAGCACTCAGTGTCAATAGGTTAACTCAGTGATAGCATTGAGGTGGTTAGTACTTCCTGACCTGGAAAGTCCCTATTCATCCCCTTCAACACCACCTTAATGCACCACTACCATACCGTTTGCATAGATGTTTACACATTACCAGTGAAACCATCTGTGTTGCTGCTTGCAGGACGGTGCTGTTGATGAACCCGTGCGAGGTGCCCGCTGACTTTCTCTCAGTGGCCGAGCAGCTCAGTCGCATACAGCACTCACAGGAAGAGACCTACATCAACCTGATCAAACACGCCTTCCAGTCCTCACTAGGCACCAAGTACCCTCTACAAAGCATCCATAGAGCCCTGCAGGTATGTTTAGAGCTCTAAACTGTCGACTAGAAGAAACACAATTAAATTATATGTTAAGTGTAACTTACTTACTTTTTGTTAATGGGTTTAATTGTTATTTCTAAACAGGTATATAGAAAGCTTGATTACCTACGTTTGAAATGAACACCAGTAGTTCATAGTATTTAAGATAATTGATAACCTTGTAAACAATACCATCAAAGGACATGTGTAGCATTACATCTAGTGCACTTTATTGACATACTTTTGAAGAAGCCAAAAGAAAATACTGTAGTGTTGCTATTTAAAGAAGTAGACAGGAATGTGTCAAGACGTGTACCTAAACTATAACATATCGTGACTACTCTTTTCAGGCAAAAAATGTGAATGAATTGGGGTCGATCTTCTCCACGATAAGTGATGTCTTAGAGGCCGCTGCGGCTATGAAGGACCCTGTGAAGGGTCGCAGTCATGTGATGCAGGGGCTCGAGCAACTGAGGGAGAGCATGAGAGTCCCAGCATCCAATGGAAGAAGGTCTGATGGTAAGAGGGCAGATTTCATGAACTGGTGACTTAAATTCCAATGTCCCACACCCACGTGATAATTTCCAGAAGTAATTTACAATTCAAATTAAAAGTGTTGTAAACAAATAATAGAAATAATAAGCAATGGCTAAACAAGCATTTTGGCTCCTACACAGGGGCTATCACATCATCATAATTCAGTTCCCGGCATGTGTTGTTCTGATAGGGTTTTGTTTTACTCTTTTTTTCTGTTGTGCCTTCCAGGAATGCTACAAACTCTACCCTTGCCTACAGCCAAGTGTTACATGTTTCACTGGGAAAAAGATAACTTTGGTAAAGTATTCTTCATTTCACAAAGGAAAAATATTTTTTTTTTTCTTTGGACTGATCAAGATTAAGTTTTTCTTCTTTAGCTCCAGGAATAACATCCCCAATTTGGAGATGACATAAACTGCTGAATATGATTGATATTTGTCGTTTTTGATCCCTGCAGATGTTCTGAACACACTTCTGGAACATGAGCCTGATGACCAGGAAACAAATGGGCATGCTGAGGAAGAAGAGGAGGTGAACATTGATGATAATGATGATGATGATGATGAAGATGAAGAGGAGGGGGAGGAGGAGGAGGAAGAGGATGTGACAAGTCGTGATAACGGAGAAGTAGAGGGAGAAGAAGAGGACGGACATGGAGTAGAGTTGCCTTCAATATCTAACATACTTCATACATACAATCCCAACCATCGTGCCTCCACCATCTCTTCCGTGTCCACCGCCTCCAAAGACTCCATGTTCTCCACCTTGTCTGTAGCCTCAGAGTCCTACGCTCCGTCCCACTACTCAGTCACTTCTGGAGCTGATAGTGACTACTTTGAAGATTCTGACGACTACCTCTGCTCCTCTCCTGTCAGATGTTCGCCAAAGCCAATGACCAAAGCTCGGCTCAGCCAGCACTTGTACCGGCTCTTCAGCAAACCCAAACTAAATCGGGCCAAAAGCTTAGGAAACACAGAATCCAAAGACCTTTTAGTTGTGCGAGACAAACCCCGCTCCAACTCTCTGCCGCAACAGGTTAAGTTACGTTGTACTGAGCCCTTTTTCCAGCCACCAAGTCAAACTCTCAGACATGTGTGCTTCAGAAGGAGGCCCATTCTCAGCAGTGACGAGGACAATCAGAATACCACGCTGAGGGTGGTGGTGTTTGGTGCTGATCACGTAGCAGGGAAGGTGGCCAGAGCCTACAATAGCCTGAGGAGGAAGGAGAGTGGGTGTCCACGTCTCAGCAGGGTGTTCAGGCTTCAGTTCTACTTTGTGCCCGTGAAGAGGGACTCTGCAGCAGGGCAGGGGAGTTTGAAGTCTCAGGGTCCTGTGGTTCAAAGTCCCAAAGGAGCAACCCTGTCTAATGTAAGTAGAAAACTTCTCCAACTAAATACTATACTTTGAGAACAAGATGTATTTACTTAGCTGTAAGTAGCAGAGCTGTACAGTTGAGTTAACAGAGAGATATGAGAATTCCACTGTTATAATTTATGCTTTTGCTTAACCAGGATCCTCACCTCACGGCCACAGGGGACAGCACTAATGACATTGCCAACCTCCTTGGAATGTTGGACCCTTGGTACGAAAGGAACATCCTAAGCCTGATGAACTTGCCTGCCAACGTCGTCTGCCAGGTACAACTGGAATCTAACTTTGACACTGCCAAAACTGAAACACACCCTAGTCTAGTGCAGTGCTGTCTGTTGCCACAACATTGCTATCATGCAGATAGATAAAGCCTGGAGCAATAACTCATTACATAAATGTCCAATGTTTGGTTTAGGCTGTTCTTCCATAAATCATGAGTATGATGTTGTTTTTGTTTTGCTCTGCAGCAAACCTCAAAGACGGAGTCAGAGTCATATGATAGTTCATATGAGCAGCGCTTGCCCATCCTGGCCGATCTGGTCCTGTACTACTGCCGCAACGCTTCCCGGCCAACTCTCATCCAGCTCTATCAGGCCGAGGTGAGACACACATTTTTACACAAAAAAACACATACCAAGCAAAAACACATTATATAAAGGACCAGATTTGAGCACCCTTGTGAACAGATTTGCCCTGAAGCCCTGTGGGTCATTGCATTAAGAGATGCTACACTGTTCAAAAGCCATGAATTGATTGAGGATCTTTGGTGTTGCAGCTGACATTAGCTGGTGGAGAGAGGAGGACTGAGGTATTCGTCCACTCCCTAGAGTTGGGTCACACTGCAGGAACACGAGCCATAAAAGCCATGGGTGAGTGTGACACACAAGCAGAACACACGCTCATATCCTAGCAACAGTGCCACAAGAAATAAAAACCTCCACATTTTCCATGGAAGTATTTATGAGGTTGAGACAGGACTCCATTTATGGTGGCGGAACATCTGTTATTTCTATTTCCTGATTCAGTCTACTTTTTTTTGTTTTACTTGTCGCCACCACTTCTGATTTTTGATTTCAGTTTTAGGAAGTCAAAATTTGGGGAAAGCTCTGTATGCCTCATGTCCGGTAGTTACAGAGAAAATGACCTATTCCATTATTCAAAATATTCTTTAAACTAAATTATCTGTCATTGCAAATGTAATATATTCTATATTTAACGCTGTATTTAAAACTCATTTCACAATGCAAGAATCCTGAGCTGTACTTGTTCATAAGCCTGGATTTTTGTTATCATATTTCACAGTATTGTAGCACATTATTTTTAACGAGAATAACTGAAACACTGCTCTCATGTTCTCTTTAAAAAGGTGCTGCCAGTAAACGGTTTGGTATTGACGGTGACAGAGAAGCAGTGCCCCTGAAGTTGGAGGTGGTGTCCAACAGGGTAAGATTTAAACTGCACTCTACAAGAAATAACATTATAAATAAATCATTATATCAGCAGAAAAAAAACGATGACGATGCAGGTTTCCCCTATTAATCCCAGTCAGTTTCGGTTATGGTTATGCTTCAACGCACAAGAAATGACACTTCCAAATTCTGTCACAAAATACAAAGTCTGCTAAAAAAAATCCATGAAGCCATTTCCTGATAAACCTCTGTGGTCCCTGTGGTAGGAAGCATTAGAGACCTGTCAACATTATGTTCCTTTTTACTGATGTTATTCATTATCTGTTCCCCTTTTTTCAATTAGATACATTCCTGCGGATGGAAATATTGTTTCCAATTCAAAATTCCCATCAATCCTTTCTCATTTGTTTAGTGTTTTTCCAAAACAGCAATGTTATCCTCTTTTCTCCTCCCAGGTGGTGATCAGTGGGAGAAGCCAGTGGAAAAGAGAAACCAAAGTCTGTACGTCAGTAAATGTAACCAAAGCATGCAAGAATCCCGAGGAACTAGGTACGCATCTACCACTGGCTACCATAATGATTTGTCAAACTTTGCTGGATTGAAAATATTAGATATGTGTTAATTCAACATCATGGAATATTGTTGTTTATGAAGAAAACATTTTTTATTCAATAATCATTGACACTGTTTGCGCTCAAGCTAATGTTAAAAGGAAATTCCTTTATGTTTTCCTTGATACCTGCTTTAGGCAATGATGAAATGTTTGTCTAAGTGTATTCAAATTGTAACTAAAGCATTCTCTTTCAGATGCAAAGATGGAGTGCCTACAGCTCACGATGACTGAGGTCCTGAAGAGGCAGAGCGGTAAATGCAAGAAGGGTTACAACCAGGTGAGCTACAGTATACGTGACATCAGCCTCTCACGTGGTTGGTGGTTAAAAGAAACTCAGCATGCTGTTACATACATCTCTGCAACTCTCTATTTAAAGACAGAGACCTCAGTACATTATGATAGCATCTCAAACTCACCTGACCTAAATCTCTCATCACGTATGCTGAGAACAACGTTATTTCAACCTGACTGCTCTATGAAACGTAAAGCCACAACACAGGAAATACTCTTTTGCTTGTGTGTGTTTGACAATAATATTATTTCCTCACCACTGACTCTATTTTGACTTGAAACATTTGTTCTCAGAAGATTGCATACCTATTTAAAATAATCAGTTTTAGCTAAATTCTCTCTTTACAACTCAGCGCAAAACAAGTGTTTCAAAATCAAAAGTATAACAACTTAGAAGGAGCTGCAAAAACAATGAATTCCACTTGAAATGCATTTGACTTCTCCAAAATGTTAATATCTGAGGTGGAATGCATGAATTATAGTTTTGCATCTGTTTATTTCCTTTCGTAGCAGCTGAGCACGACAGAGGTGAAGGTGGACAAGGTGCAGGTCAGCGGTGCTGAAAACACAACCTTTGCTGTATGTCTGGACCAGGACGAGAAAAAAATACTGCAGAGTGTTACAAGGTGTGGACACACACACAGATATACACACACGCAGATGACATAGACATACATAGTGTCTGGTAAGAAGCAGTAAACCACCAACCAATAAACGAAATGGTTCTGCCAAGAAGTGTTAGCTCCTCTCCTTAAGCTCCCTTTATCTATTATTGCAGGAGTTTCACATGTCAGAGAAATCGTTTCTGAACTGAAATGTCTTGTTTTATCTGCATCTTTGGCTGACAGAACCACATTTTCCTTTCAGGGAACATACATGAATTCTGAATAAACATATTTACACCATCCACACAGAAGTTACAAACCTTGAAAGTGTTGTTATTTATCTAACCCATACATCTTCCTTTCTCCCATATAGATGTGACATATCCGTGTGTTATAAACCCGACAGCTCCACTGACTGGAGGCTAAGGAAAGCTCCGAGCTCAGCTCAAATCCAGCCTCTCAACCCCACCTTCTGCTCCCTCCTCTGCCTGCCCATAGTCACTTTCAGTGGGGCTCTTCCCTGAGACTGCTGACCACTGGACAGGATGGTCAGAAAGGAAATAGTATGTGCACTTAGCAATACTCTGTTGTTTTAAAGTTCACATGATGGTGGCATCAAACGGCAGATGGATGCAACTGTTTGAAACACTGCAACCTGCTCTGAAAGACTCATCGGGAAACAGCAGACAAATGCATACCTAAGAACCTGAAAGACAAAGAATAAATATACATGCAGTCATACTAATGATGAGCAGGCCAGCGTTGTCTGTAAAGACAATACCTAACTGTTGTGAAGGAAACTGTTCGAGTTTCATTTAACTGGTTTTGGTTCTTCTTTCCCTGCTGACAGGGAAGTGACTGAAGCCACAGTAATTATTCAATGTAATTTGGGAAAACAGGGTTAATCTGCAGCTCAGGCTTGAAGGTGAGATGGCAGACAAACTGGCATGAACATGTAGAAATAAGCCTCGGACCTATCAGGAGATGGATGTAAAAAGGTAGACATCATCTTGGTGTCAAAGTTCGGAAAAGGTTTCTCTTGACCAATCGACATGGGCACAGGAACCAGGGGAATTGTACACCTGTTGACCAGTCTTTGATGCCTCCATTAGGAATGATTATGCGACTATATCTGAGAATGTAAATAATATGTTTGTAAAATACTGTATGCATGTAATTACTTGGATGTTACACAAACATGTTTTATGACTGTTATACATGGGCTTAAGTGATAACATTTCTCCTAAGGAGTTACAATGAAGTAAATGTAAATATGACCAGCAGGGGGTGCTGTTGACTTTCTAACTGACTTCAGATGAAGTACAGATTACTTTAACAATCCAGATTTAGCAAAACACAATATAAAGAATCACTTTGTAACATAAATGTAATTTATGTAAAGATAGCTTATTTTAGCTTTTGCAGAGTGCTAACCTTTATTTCATCAACAGTATAGGAGAAAAAAATACATGTTATATTGTGGTGCTAAAAAGATCTTTATATAAAAAAACAAATGAATTGCACTTTGCATACTTGTAAACCTTGACATTTAACTAAATATATATTTTTTATATTCTCTAAAGAGATAATAACCTGATCCCCTGACCAAGACTGAAAAAAGTAGCACTGCACATAAATATATTGTATAGAATTGAAGCACTTGAACATTAGATTGGATAATTAGGTACTTTTCTGTTCAGATAAATGCTCTATGTGCCTTCTGTGATGGAAATATTATAAATGCAATAAAGTATTTTTATGTGTATCAACTATGCAATGGATCTATCTATCTTTTTTTGAAACACCTGTGTTGTAAATTATGGATAAGAGCTCTGATTAGTTACCAATGCAAGCCTTGGTGGCACGCCATTGGTCGGTGCAGGAATGGGCGTGGTCTGACGGTCTCTGTCAGATAAGCTTTTGTCGCTCAGAGTAAAGTGAACAATAACGTGTCACCGACAGTAGATGATACAGTTTGTAAATGGATTTGTGTGCACAACTTAACTTCAGGTGAGTACTCCTTTACATAATCTCGGGTGTTTTACCATTTGCAGACTTTTGTTTTATATAGTTGTAAAACTGTCTACGTACTCGTATAAAAGTTTCGAATGACTCAATATTTCAACTAGGTAGTATTGCAAAGGATACAATGTGTGTTGGGCTAATGTAGGTGTACAATCACCTTCCTTTCAGCAGTTTATTAGTCGGAAATCGTTGTATATCCGCTGCTTTTCTATCATGGGTTAACCTCTATATTTTTTACATTTGTTTTGCTGTTTTGCATGACTCTTAAAGTTGTAATTATTTTTAGGCTACATTTCGCACCGGTGAGCCGCACACAATTTGCTTATCTGATTCTGCTAGTAGTAACGTTTTACCGCGTGTAGTGCCACTGAGTGCACCATGCAGATAAGATGTGGCGGATACTGTGGTTTACCGTGCAGTATATCACTGAAATATCTCAGCAAGGATTCCTATGCTGCCACATACTGTAGGTCAGCAGCTCCTTTGAAAAGTACTTTGTTTACATTCATCTTTGTTTTTTTGAATGGGCTCTTTCACATGTAAGGTGGGCTATAAGATAAACTCCACGCCGCATGGTTTATGACACAGGAAGACACAAAGACTGCAGTTTATGTTTTCCCTCCTGAGATAATAACAAGGTTTGATAGCAGTGCCTGATCTGATTGAAGCTCTGGCTCTCTGTTGTGTCTGTTGGGAGTCTAAGAGCACAGCTGTATTTCCTCCAGCTTCCTTATTTTAGATCCAAGCTTCCTGATACCACTTTGGGGGATTAGGGGATGCAGGGTGGCTCCTGTCTGTGTGTGTGTGTGTGTGCAAATTAACTTAGTATAGATCACACACACATTGAATCGTTAGTGGTTATATTGACAACATGTTGCACACAACGCTCAGTTAATAATAATAAGGTCTAATGGAGTTAAAAATCAGATTGAGCATAACAACAATTGGGTGAGGCTCTTCAGTTAGACATGAGGAAACAATGAACATAGTGGTGGGAAATATGAAGGCTATAAATGTAATGGTGTAATCCAGTATTGAACTTTGTTCTAAGGTAATAACTTGGGGAGACATTGAATATCACTGTAAAACTGTGAATAACAATCAGTTATCATAATTCAACAACACATGATCAACAGAATGACTCCGCTTCACATGGTTAAGTCTGATTTTTGTGGTAACCTTATCATTAGACATTGGATCATCTTGCCAAAATATGTTATGACTACAGATTGCAACACCACAAACATCCACTGTGAGATCATGTGGAAATACAACAACTTTTGGATAGTTTTTAGGTGAGGTGATGACTGCAACAGGTGCACCTTAAAATGCATTACCGCAAACAGAAATAATCTCAAAATAAAACCTGCCATTTATTGGTTATTGTATAATGTATACGCCTTTGTGTCACTTTGCCTGGGAGACAGGTTCAGAGTCCATCATTATTCTTCATGATTTGTTAAAATTAGATCCTTGGAGTGAACACATTGTACTACCCCATAAGACATGAGACCTTTCCATACAAAGACCCCTCAGTCCTCTACAAAATGTCACCCTCTTAGAAGTTTGGAAGGGATTCCTAAATACGTCTAAACTTTGTTTTGTTCTTAATAGATAGGTAGATCTAAAAGTTATGCTAGTGAAGTAGTCCCCCATAAGGCTGGCGATGGATCCAAAATGTCCAATTCAGCCAACAATTCAGCAAAGACAATACATCAAAATTAGTTTATAATTGTGATTTTGGAAAAACAAACTGAGCTGAGCTGTGACGAGTTGTTCATAATGCTGCAAACACAAATAACTGATAGAAAAGACTTCCTAGTAGTTCCTCCTGCTTCAGGGTAAAACAACTCAATAAACTCTGTTGTAGTCACTTTTGCCCTTTTGAGTTTCAGGACAGAGAGTCATTTAAGGCAGGGAGATCAAACATGTTGGCCACGCCTCAGCTGCGGCTTTGGCTATTTGAGCTCAGTCAGATGACCGGATTAATTCAAGCTATTACTTCAGTCACTCAACATGACACCCTATAACCTCATGCACAAACCACGAAGTGCTTACAAGACACTTTATATCAGTCTGTTTTTTGACGAATGTTGTCTTGAGCAACTTTGTAGTGCTCATCATGTCTCAAAAATCGATTAGTCAATCCTCCAGTTTCTTAATTGTGAGGTTTTGGTGCGTGTGCATCTTATTTCATAGTAGATTATGTATTTATGGCTTTGCTCTTTTGCACTTTTAAAGGAAGAAACATAAGTGTTACTTTCAGGCTTGATGAAAGTATTATTAGCCTTTATTAAAATAATCTGACATTATATAGATGAAATGACCAGTCAATTAATCAAGAATTATTCCACATACCCTTCAACAATTGAAACATTGATAAATTGCAGTTTGAGGGTTATATTTTATAACCTGTACACCCACTTGCTACTTTAGGCAGCTGTTGCCCTGAAGTGCCCTGAAACCCGGGAAACCTGAAACAACATTTGAAATAACAACCTTACCCAAAGTTATTACAAAACACTCTTAAGTTAACTCCAAAAATGCAGACAGACCGCAGATTCTCTTTAATTTGAGACGCCAACCTGTAGGGAGTATGAAAACAAACAGCAACACTTCCTGGCACAGTCATGTGTCTGTGGGCTCCTTGGAAAGCAGTCTTGATCGTGGCCAAGGCCAATTCAAGTGTGTGTTTGTGTGCGTGTGGATCTATTTGTGTTGCTCATCATGTCTATGTGACGCACTTAGTGTATCCTGTGCTTGTAGCATTTGGATCACTTTACACCCTGTGACCTTGTGTGGAAGTTTACTTCTGTTGCCTCGTTATGGCCACAGTGGCTACATGAGGTCTGCCGTGTGGTGAGACTGGCCATCTGAGGAATCCTCACATTTGTCTACGTGCTTTTTACTTTTTCTTTGGCATGTCTGGACATAATGTTTTCCTTTCCACTCATGTCAGTATAGCAGAAAAGCGAAACTGTTTGGTTAGAGAATGTGTCAAATGTTGCAGCCATGCTTCGCCCTCCCTGTGATATGATTATGTGCAAAAAGTGAGTTTCAGCTTGTTTGAGACTCACAGCATGTGGCTTGAATATTTGAACAATCTGAGATGCTTTGTATTCGATTGAACCAGTACACCACTAGCATGAATGCTTCAAAACCACAAGGGTATTCTATTCCATAACAATTTCTTGTGAACTTGTCAGCCAAAGTGACAGCTGCAGTAGAAAACAAAAAAGCCTCTACCCTTCCTTCTGTATAGCAAAAACGTGTTGTAATTCAGTAAAATAAAAGAGGGTAAATACAAATTATTCCCCGTCTGGTTATTTACAGGCCTTCTGTCCGGGGTCGCAGCTGTATCTATGGTAACAATGCCAGCTTTGTTTTTGGCGTTTTTTTTTAATCTGCAGTAAGAATTGATTTAGAAGTATTTCATGCATAAAGAATGAATGTAATCACTATTCCAAAACACTGATGAACAGTTCTGCATTAAGGGGGCGTATAAAGGATTTACTGTAAGTTCAAAGCTCAGAGAAAGCAGAAACAACTATTTTAAAACTGACTATTAAGGCCTTTTTTTAGGTCACAAAAAAGTAGATTCAGCTGTATGTAAATAGGAATTGCATGTGCACTAAATTGCATGTGTCGTGGGTATAATGTACAGTATATGTGCCAATGTGTTACAGACACAGTATCGACACATTTGGTAGTCTGTTTACATCTTCTTTATTGTTTAACAAGTTTGTTCAAAACTCCTTAAACTGACACGTGCCTAATCCAACCCACATCCCCAACTGACCCCTGTTTGGTCAGTTGACCCTGCTCCCACCATTGTGGACCCCACAGAAGGGATTTACCACACACACACACACACACACACACACACCTTCTTGGGAAACCCCCTTTGTATCCCTACTTCTTCCTATCTGCCTTCCTCCCCCCTGATGGTTTTATCACACTACTCCAGTGGCATACAGTACATCCTTACCCTGTCCATTCATGCCTTGGATTGGATATTTTTTTACAGTAGCTCACTAGCTCCTCCAATTAGAACATTTATTGAAGCTTTTTAAGACATATTTTCCTGTTTGTTGCACATTTTGGCCATTTGTGTGTGTGTACAATCTGTAGTCCCTGAGGAGGAAATAATCCCTGGTCAGTCAGGCAAGGCAGTTTTATATATATATACACACACACACACACACACACACACACACACACACACACACACACACACCCCGGTCCAAGAAGACACACCCCGGTCCAAGAAGACTTCCTCATATTGTCCGATACAGGAAATCACTTATATCCCCTGTTGCTCACACTAAATTAAAAGTTAAACAAGTTTCTTTGCAACTTTTGAAGGTCAATATGTGTGTTTTTCTGCATGTTTGTTTATCACAGCATTGCGTTTTGTAGATGGTTCTTATCAAAGGTAAAAGAAAAAACAGTCTGTTTAGAGCAGGATGACATGCTGTTTCTGCTGTTTGACTGATTTGTAGCTCAAACTCTCAGCGGAGATGTGGAGAGAAAAGGGAAGCAGCCATTCAGCTACTGTACTTCTTCCTCTCCAGATTTACAGTGTCATTTTTGTTATCTCCTTGAGAAAGAAACTAAACAAGGACACAGTACACTTCCCTATGTGGAAATTCAAGTGCTGCTGTCACACTGTACTTTAGTTTCAGGTATTGCATGCTTGCTGTTTAGGGGATACACTCTGCAGGTGCTTTCCTTGTCTTCCTCTTTGTC